AGTTATTTATTTATTTTATTTTATTTTTTAAAAAATTTTATTATGCTGTTAATCACCATACATTACATCCTTAGTTTTTGATGTAGTGTTCCATGATTCATTGTTTGCATACAACACCCAGTGCTCCATTCAATATGTGCCCTCTTTAATACCCATCACCAGGCTAACCCATCCCCCCACCCCCCTCCCTCTAGAACCCTCAGTTTGTTTCTCAGAGTCCATAGTCTCTCATGGTTCGTCTCCCCCTCTGATTCCCCCCCCTTCATTTTTCCCTTCCTACTATCTTCTTTTTTTTTTTTAACATATAATGTATTATTTGTTTCAGAGGTAGAGGTCTGTGATTCAACAGTCTTACACAGTTCACAGCGCTCACTATAGCACATACCCTCCCCAATGTCTCTCACCCAGCCACCCCATCCCTCCCACCCCCCACCACTCCAGTCCAGTGGCCTAGAGACCACCTCTACTCATATGAAAAGAAAACAGCTTCTTCAAAAAGAAAAGCTATTCAAATTGGAAAAGAGAGGAGCTTCTAAGTGAACATATACCAACATTTTATTAACAGGTAAAACTTGATCATTTTGTTTGGGCTCTTCCTTGTTATGTCACATTTAAAGGAACTCATTAAATTACTGAAAAAGGAAGGGACGACCTTGTAATAAATTCTAATGTGTCACTGATTAAAGCCCCAATCATCTAGAGCACATATCCATAATCTTCTCCTATTTATCTCAAGGTCATTAGTAATTTTTAAGTAGTTACTGCTTTATATACAAGTGTGAGCATGTGCACAAACACATATATGTGCATGCATACATTCCATTTAGTTGTTTTTTTATATAACTTCAGACACCAAAAGCACTAAAGTTAAGATGGAAATAGAAGGGCAATTAACTTCCTAAGCTTTTTAGATCATTCCAGTTATGACAACTGTCAAATTACATCAGAGTTTTAAGTGTTCAAAGAGAAAGGCATAAATTTTGGTCCCAAACAAGAGCAATAACTCATTTTGATGCTTTTTAATGCCTCTTAGTTCTATTTCTTAGTCTTTACAAAGTTGTCCCCTAATGTAATCTGCTCCTTAAGGTTAACGTTTTCCTTGATTCCAAACTCAGTTTGTTCTCACTCTCTTACTGTGCACACTCTTAGGTGAGTGAGACTGTTCTCAGTTTTAGCTGTTGTCTAAATCTCTACACATACTCCATTCTTCTTTTCTGAGTTTTGACGTGACCTGCATTTCCAGCTACCTGTGGAACATAGCCGTCTAAAATGGTCTGAGATCCGAGATCCATTAAGTAAAAGTTAAAACTTTTCCTTCACACCTTTTTCCTCTTTATGCTTTCCGTGTTTCATTACCTGCCTAGTCACCCAAGTTTAGAGACTGTTTAATTAATCCTTTCTTTGTTTCTCAGATTCTCTATTACTCTCATGTTTAGGTAGCCAATATTCCTGCTCCCAATCTCCCTTTTCTTTCAGTCCTTATTGCCTAAGCCCTAGTCTAGGTCTTGGACACTTGTAGGAAGTTTCTGGAAGCTCACACTGCTTTCACTCTCACTTTCCCTCTGTCCCCCTCTCCATACCCACTTTTCACAGTGCTGTTTGAGTTAAAGCAAACCTGTAAGACTGCCATCCTAATTCTTAAATAATATCCATTGCCTTTGAGCTTATTCAGCAAATATTTATTGAGTACCTGCTTTGTGCTAGGCAGTATTCTAGGTGGAGAAGAATAGTGAACAAAACAGACAAAAATCTTATCTGTAATTGAGCTTGGTCTAGTTGGGGGGGAAGCAGACAATACAAAGTAAACTGTGTGGTTAGAAAATGATAAGTATCATGGGGAAAAATAAAGCGGGGAGGGCGGGTAGGAGTGTGGGTGGAGAAATTGGGGAAAGCCCAATTAGGGAAAGCCACTCTAAAACAGTAAAATTTTAGCAAAGATTTGAAGGAGTTGAGGCAAGTGAGCAGTATGTATATCTGAGGGAGAGAACATTCCAGGCTGAAGGAGTGATCAGTATAGAGGCCCTGAATATGAAAGCCTGCCAGATGTGTTCAAGAAACAGCAGGAAGCTATTGTCAGTAGAGTAGAGGACAGGGAAATAAATATGTGTAGAGGACCTTGTAGACCACTTACAAGAATAAATCTTAATGAGGTGGAGTGGAAGAGCTACCATCTAACTTCTGTTTTGTTGATATTAGACCAAAGGGGTAAAGGTGGAAGCAGAAAGGCCTTTTAGGAGGATATTGCAATAATCCAGGTGAGAGGTGATCATGGTTCAGACTAGGATTGTAGCAGTGAAGATGGTAAGAAATGGTTGGATTCTGAATAAATTTTAAAGGTAGAACCATTAATACTTTTTTTGGTGTATGTATATGTGTGAGAGAAAGAGGAGGGTGGGGAATTAATGATGATTCTAAGGTTTTTAGCCTGAGCAATGTCAAGTACACAATTTGACATACTAGTCTGGAGTTAAAGGCAGAGGTCCAGCATATATATGAATTTGGGAGTCATCAATGTAGAGTAGTATCGAACCACCTGACTGGGTGAGATCGTAACAGGAGTGATGAGCTGACATAAAGAACAGAGATCTGACTGAGTCCTGGGATCCTCCATTCCTTAAGAGAGAAAGGGAAATAGAATGAGCCAGAAATGAAGAGCAAGAAGAGTGGTCTTTAAGGTAAAATGAAAACCAGAAGAGTATAGTGTCTTAGAACCCAAGTAAAGCAAGTATTCAAAAGAAGGGAACATGATCCAACTATGTTAAATAGTAGTGCTCAGGCAAAAAGAAAGGAGAGATAAGATGATGACTAACAATTGACATTGGATTCAGCAACAAGGAGATTACTGATCTTAAGGAACAATTCTGGTGGAGCAGTGGTGATGAAGTCCTATTTGGAGTAAGTTTCAGAGAGAGTGAGAAGAGACTGGTATTGGAGAATGTCAGTTTAGACACCTCTTTGGAGGAATTTTACCGTTTAGGAGGGCAGAAAATATGGTGCTAACTAGTGCAGGTATTCTTTTTAATGATGGGAGAAATAACAGCAAGTTTGTGTGCAGATTGTAATGCTCCCACAGAGAGAGAATTAATGAAGAGAGATACAAAAATTACTGAAGTGCTGATTGTGATTAGGAAAAGCAGAGTAGTATCATTTTTTACATGTAGCAGGGTTTACCTTAAAAAGGAGCTTGGTCACTTTATCCCTAGTGAGAGAAGGGAAAGAGGAGCATATGGGGTTAGATGCTGTAGATGGGCACATGTAGTGGTGCAAGCAAGGTCATCAGCTGGAGGTGAGGATGGGAAGACAGGTATTGGAGGTCAAAGTGAAAGAAGAAATCAAGTACTTGGGAAAAGTGAATGGACTAGGCAAATATATGATTGCTGGGCCAATTGAAATGCTTGATGATGAATTTACTGTGAAACCAAGCAGCACAGTTTTAGGCAGTTTGGGTACAGCATGGAATGAATGGGCAACTAGATTTAACCAGAGTTGTGGTTTATCAAACAGGTATGATAAAAGAGAAGGATATATGCTAGAGCAGACTTGGCACATTTTTTCATAAAAGGCCAGATAGTAAATATTTTTGGTTTTGCAGGCTATGGTCTCAGTTATAACTACTCAGCCCTGCCCCAAAGCAGCCATAGACAATACTTACATGAATGAGCATTGCTATGTTTCTATAAAACTTTATTTATAAAAACAGGCAGCAGGCCTTTGCTATTGTTTACTGACCATGTGTTAGAGAATGAGGGTAATGGTAGACCTTGTAAGTTAAGCTGGATATGGAGAGAAGAGAGGAGAACATGGAAGAGTGAGGGATAATAAAAATGTAGTAGAGTCAATGGCATGCTGTCTTACTCAACAGTTTCCTGAGCTCTGCTGTTTTCATTGACCCCACATCTTGGTAGAGTTTTTCTATGCCTTAAATGCACCTTTCATACTCAATTTAGATGTCGTCTCTTTTATACCTCCACCTTTACTTCCTCTGCAGTGGCTACTGACCTATAGAAAATGTTCAGTAAATGCTGAAAATTGAAATTCTTCACTTCATTTTGGTAGGTAACATGATTTCAAATTGGGACGATTGTGAAAGTTTGTTTACCTACGGATTTTCCCCTTCAGTAGCCAATTCTAGACTTGCCCACAGTGATTCTCAACTTTGTTTTCTGCTTCAGTTTACCTATCTGATATTGTTCACAGGAACAGAGTAAAGATAGCACTCTGTTCCTCTCTCCTACTTGGTACTTAGCTGGAATTCCCTTCTTTCTATCTATTGATCTTGGATTAGTGTCTTTAGGCTGCTGAGAAAGGATGTTTAAACATATGACCTGCAATAAACTTGTGAGTATGGTAACTTGCTGCCTTATAAATTATTCTTTTTCTTTCAGTTACTTGTAGAAGACAAGTGATTATTGTAATTATAGACTATCAGATAACCATAGAATCTTTTTTGTAGAGCTTAGAGAAATTTTGAAGAACATCTAGTCCAATTTTTCATATTCTAGTTGAAGGAATTGAAGCCTAGAGAGATTAAGTGATACATTAGTTAGCGTACCTTAGTTAGCAGCAGAGCTAGGGCTGGAAATCTTCACTCCCTTTTTAGTACTCACCCTACTACCATGACAGTTTTCCTGATAGGATATGAGGGCACTGATTCTCAAACTAGAAAACAGGAAATTTTGTGACAAGTGATATCCTCTAAAATCTTATTACCAAAATAACAGTTTAAATATAATTGGAAATCTTAGCAGTATTGAAATGGCTATGTTTTCTTTCCATGAAATTATTAGTAAAAAGGTACGGTAGACTTGTTTTTACTATTATGGTTATATTCTGAATTACTTTTGTATAATTAAAATTGAATGCATGAATCTTAAAAATGTGAATAAGTGAAAAAATCTGAATAACTAAATGTATAGAGATTTTAATCTCTATTTAAAAGACTGAATATTTAAAAGACTAGTTTCTAATTTTTCCTGTTTGTTTTTAATAAACTCTTTCAGAAAGATGAAGTCTATCTTAATCTGGTGCTGGACTATGTTCCGGAAACAGTATACAGAGTTGCCAGACACTATAGTCGAGCCAAACAGACGCTTCCTGTGATCTATGTCAAGGTATGTAAAAATGGAGCAATTTCCCATTTACTTAATATCATCCAAGGAAAGTGTTGGATATGTTTTAACTGTATTATTGCATATAATGCCAAGGGGGGGGAAGCTGCAAAGTAGGTTTTGCTAGAGCTTCATTAAATTCTTGTATAATTTTGAGGTGTGAAACCTTTACCTTTTAAACTTTCATGACTCTCATATTAAAGATATCTTGTCATGTTTCTGACAAGTGAATTTTTTCACAGACATTTGTGGATTTTAATTTTGCCAGCCATAACACCTTTTTATTTAATTTCTGATACCCTTATTATGGCATAGACTAAAAAGGAAGCAGGCATATCATATAAAATTATAAAATATATATGTGATCAGATTAAACATTATACTGCCATTTATAGATACAGTGTAACTGTAGCTAAAGTTTAAACTTTCTATAATTTTAAATATGTACAGACTCTATGAAGGTGTTACTTAATTTTTAGTACCTAATGTCATTTTCTGTGAAAGAACTCATAACAGAGTGGCTAGGAATTTATCCAGCATAATGATTAAAGTTGTGATTGCTGATTAGAAACATTATTGTCATTATAATCATTATTAGATTGTTCAGATCTTTAAAAAAAATTTTATTGACATATGGTTGACACACAGATTATTATTTTTTAACTATGACGTTGTGAAAATTAACTAGGTGTTAAGTTTCAAAGTCTAGCTATCTAAATATAACTTTTTGCATTTTATCCTTTATAGGAATGACTCTAGAAAATAAAATGGCATTGACTCTAAATGTTTTAAGATTGAGTATTGAATTTTACTTAATAGCTACAATTTTAAACTTTATAGTAATAAAATGGGTACCAAAGCAGGAATTTGGTAACTAGATAATTAGGACAAGGAGTCGGGATTCCTATTGAATTCAGTGCTAAGAACTTTTAAAAATCTGATTCCTGTATAATTTTATTTGGACTTATCCAACTTGGTTGGGGTTGGTGGTTAAATTGGTCATAGGAGGAACTAAGAGACACAGTTTTTGTAATAAAAATTTAGTACTTTATTCTGGTTTTAAGATAGCAGGGTCCTATTCAAGATAACCTGCACAATAGAATATCCCTTTTGAAGTGTCTAAATCTAGGGTAATCTTTGAACTTCTCAGTTTAGAATGGTAATGGATTTATGAAGAAGAAACCCTAGATTTAGTTCCTGAAGACCTAGTTTTGAGACCCAACTTTGCTGCTAAGTTAAGTGCTTTTGGGCACTTACTGATCTGTTCTCTACTTAGCTTCCGTGTTGGTAGAATTGTACTCATTTCTTTCCTGCTCACAGTATAGCATTGTTGGTCTATAAGGTGAACTTAACATATGAGAAAACATTTTTGGGACTGTAAAATAAAAGTAATAGGAGATCTTAACACTAGGTTTAAAAAACGACATGTGGACATTTAGTAAGAGGTGCACAGTGGTTAGACCAGTTTTTTGTTTCAACTCTAACTCAGCAAACAAATACTAAATGATTGCAGAATAATGTGATGCTTAATAAAATATTTTATTCCTCCTCTAATAAGGAGAAAAAAGATTACACAAATAACTATAAAACAAGAAAAAATATATAGTGTTATGAAAGTAGTTAGGTCATATTCTTTTGAATTGGCAAAATTCCGAAGAGAGGGTTGTAGTAATACCTCTGTTGAATCTACCCTCCAAGTTACTTACCTCCTAGCAGATCTGTATTGCTCCATAGCTGAGCCAATACCCATTTTCCCACCACTTAACATAAAATGTCCCAAGTGATTTTCTTTTCCTGTATCTGTCTACAAAGTTTTACTCGTTTCAGGATCTTTTCTTTGGTCACTCTAAATACTTGTTTTTATTATTGAAGATTTCAAATAGAAATAAAGGAGAAAATGGAATAATGAACCCCCATGTACCCATTATATAGTTTGAACAATGATGAGTTCATGGCCACTCTTGTTTCATCTATACCACCCTCTGCTCCCCACTTCCTTTATTTTGAAGCAAATCACAGGTATTATTATTTTCATCTGTAACTATTTCAGTGTATATGTGTAAACAATAGGGACTTTCTTTTTAAAAGCTTAGTTAACAAAACCATTGTCTTTACCTATACAAATAAATAGTAAATTACTAATATAATTAAATATCTACTATTTTTATTACCAGTATGTTGTGTGTGTGTGTGTGTATATATATGTTTTTAAGTTTCTTTGTTAGAATTGGGATCTAAGTAAGGTCCATGTATTATAATTGGCTGATGTATGTCTGATGTTTCTTTTAATTTATGGACGACTCTCTCTTAAACTTTGGTACTAAAGAAACTGGGTCAGTTGATGTGCAGTTTCTTGATCTGAATTTTGCTGATTGTATTACTGTAGTGTTAATATGTTGCTCTGTCTTCTGTATTTCCTGCAAATTGGTGATTAGATATATTTTTATAAAATTCAAGACTACTTCATATGTATTGTTGAGTGCTTTCCTAAGGAAGAACATAATGTCTGTCTTTTTATGATACTTGTAACTATTGATCATCCTAAATCCATTAATTTATAAAGGGTTACAAAATGTGGATATTCTAATGTTATTATTCCTTCTTAATTTATAAGCTGTGGGACGCCTAGGTGGCCTAGTTGGTTGAGCATCGAACTCTTGGTTTCGGCTTCAGGTTGCTGGATCCACCCTGCACTTAGCGTGGAGTCCGCTTGAGATTCTTTCCCCCTTGTTTCTCCCCCCCACCACTTGCCCTGTCTCTCTCTCTCTCTCCCTCTCTCCCTCTCTCTCTCTCTCTCTCTCTCAAATAAATAAATAAATAAATGATATCTTTAACCAAAAAAATTTATAAGCTGAAATAGTTTCCCATGTCAACTATTTGATTACCCTGAGGTACAATTTGTATAACAAATATAGGATATATATATATTTGATTATATCCCTTTATTTACCAAAATTTATAATAATTAGTTGATTCATGGGTTCCTCCAGAAGTGACCAACAAGGTATTTTTTGTTGTATGTTTGTTTTAAAACTTCTTGAATAAGTCTTAATAATCTAATCTTTGATAACTTCTTCACTTTCTAGCATGGTAGTGTTCTAGGTTCATCTTACACATTTCATTATGGATTTTTTAATGGACAGAGCTAGAAAATGATAAAGTTTTTCAAAGATAAAATACATCTTTTTTTTATCTCAAAGGTTAATATATATTGACATTTCTCAGTAAATATTGGGGGGCTTAACAATCTTACATCTCTATTTTCTTTCTCTTACACTAAAAATTCCATTTTTCAATGGTAGTATATGTTCTGTCCTACACTCTACATACAGTAGTCTTAGAATAATAATACTGACACTACCACCAGCAAGTGAAAGTAATTTCTTTGCATTTCTTTTTATTCCCTTGGTATATTTTATTAGGTGTGAAATAAAATTTCTCTCTTAAAGAAGCATTGAGTATTTCCTCTCTATGTGATTATGCCTCATTAAGCTTTGTTTCTTTCTTTTTTTAATATTTATTTGAGGGAGGAAGGGAGAGAGAGAGAGCACATGCACGAGACAGCACAGTGGTGGAGAGGGAGAAGCAGGCTGTGCATCAAGCCGGGAGCCCAATGGAGGACCTCGATCTCAGGACCCTGGGATCATGACCTGAGCTGAAAGCAGCCGCTTAACCAACTGAGCCACCCAGGCACCCCAAGCTTTGTTTATTCATTTTACTTTTATTATAGATTGCATATAAAAATTTTTTTAATCAATGGGGTGGCTCAGTCTGTTAAGTGGCTGCCTTCAGTTAACAGTCTGACTCTTGGGGCACCTGGGTGGCTCAGTTGTTAAGTGTCTGCCTTCGGCTCAGGTCATGGTCCCAGAGTCCTGGGATTGAGCCTCACTTCGGGCTCCCTGCTCCGCAGGAAGCCTGCTTCTTCCCCTCCCTCTCCCACTCCCCCTGCTTGTGTTTCCTCTCTCACTGTGTCTCTCTCTGTCAAATAAAATCTTTAAAAAAAACAAAAAAGTCTGACTCTTGATTTTGGCTGAGGTCATGATCTCAGGGTTGTGAGATAGAGCCCCACATCAGACTCCCTGCTGGGCATGGAGTCTGCTTAAGATTCTCTCTCTCTCCCTCTCCCTCTGGTCCCACCCCTCCTGAAAAACATTTTTTTTAATTAATTTTACTTTAAATTTTATGTCAACATTAATATAAAATATTTACATAGTTCCAAAGTAGAATCTACAAAACAAGGATTATAGTCAAATAAGTTTAACTTGTATACCTGTTTCTTCTACCCTATTTCTTCTCTCCCCCCGAGTTAAATATTTAAATTTTTTTATAGTCCTGCCATTTTTAAAATAAGCAAATATATATAATTATGTTATTCCTCCACCTCCTTTTTATGTAAATGGTTACATAATATATACATTTTCCTCCATCATACTTTTTTTTTTTTAAGATTTTTATTTATTTATTTGACAGAGAGAGACACAGCGAGAGAGGGAACACAAGCAGGGGGAGTGGGAGAGGGAGAAGCAGACTTCCTGTGGAGCAGGGAGCCCAATGTGGGGCTCAATCCCAGGACCCCGGGATCATGACCTGAGCCGAAGGCAGACACTTAACGACTGAGCCACCCAGGCGCCCCTCCTCCATCATACTTTTTAAGTTAAAAATATATTCTGAAGCTCACTCTTTATTAATATAGATAGACAAACATAGCTATTTCACCTTCCTTTTTGTAGCTGCACATTAGTATATTATATGGCTTTATCCTAATTTATTCAGCTGGTCACCTATTAATGGTGTATTGTTTTCCCTTCAGGTGTTTGTTTTTGTTTTTGCTATTACAATGTTGTAGTAAAGAGCCTTGTGTTTTCTGTGGTTTGTTTTAAAGATTTTATTTATTTTTAGAGGGGGGGCATGAGCAGAGAGGAAAGGGCAGAGGGAGAGGGAGAGAATCTCAAGCAGACTCTGCACTAAGTGGGGAGGCCAATGCAGGGTTTGATCCCAGGATACTGAGATCATGACCTGAGCCGAAACTGAGTCAGATGCTTAACCAGCTAAACCACCCAGGTGCCCAATGTTTTCTGTGTTTTTGACGCTATATATTGGATGAGATCTCTGGCATCCTATATTGTAAAAAGGAAAATAAGGTTATTATGCATATTGAAGTCAGCATACAAAGAAAGTTAGAACACTCCTTTTTCCCTCTTCTGGAAAAAAAGATGGTTCTTTTATATAACCACAGCCCTTCCAGAGTCTGAGCTGTTGGCCTGTTGTTATTGTAGAACACAAATCTATTCTTATATTTAAGAGTCTAAAAAAGATAAAAACTGTCTGAAATTGATGTTGATCTCATTCAGGTATTCCTTTTACCTAGTTTTATAAAAACTATTTTTTTGTGAAAAATATTGGATTGGGAGATGGAAGTAAAAGCAATAAATGCGTATACTCTTGCCTTCATGGACCTCACCATCTAATAAGGACTTGTTTAGCATACATGTCACCAGAATGGCAGCTACAGTCCTTTGTAATTGTTTGACGTCCACTTTTTCACTTTTTCTGGGGAAGTTGAGTTATATTATATTATATTATATTATATTATATTATATTATATTATATATATATTTTAAGATTTTATTCATTTATTTGACAGAAAGAGACACAGCGAGAGAGGGAACACAAGCAGGGAGAGTGGGAGAGGAGAAGCGGGCTTTCCACTGAGGCGGGAGCCCAATGCGGCGGCTCAATCCCAGGACCCTGGGATCATGACCTGAGCTGAAGGCAGACGTTTAACGACTGAGCCACCCAGGCGCCCATTTACACTTTTATTTAATAGAATGAAAATATGATAAAATACAGAAATCATTATTAAAAGAGGTATCTTACCCAAGCCACTATAGAATACTTAGTATCTGATTTGGATAAATTGCTTAACTTCTGTGCCTCAGGTACTTTATATGTAAAACAAAAATAATAGTGGTACCTGTTGCATAAAGATTAAATGAAAATACATGCAAAGCACCTAAAATAGTGGCTGGCACGTGATAAGTTATTTTTCTTGTTATTGTTATTGCTATCTTGATAGTATAGAAGGCCTCTCCTTTCTCCTGTAAATACACTTTTACAGAGTCACAAATAAAATAGATATGAAATTGTGTATTTCTTCTTTATCTTTTCAAAAGATAAAGTGAGGAGAATGGATACAGAGTAGATCTTTCAGATGAATGAATGTAGTAAAAGGACACCTCAAACTCATTTAAGCTCTTAAGCATTTTTGACAAAACATTTTTTTCCCACTGATTATTGCTGACCCAGACATTAGCACCCTGACATAGAATGAGTAAAATCTCTCCTTTAGTAAATTAATGCCTGTGAATTTAATTTCTTATTGGAGCTTATTTTCTTAATGGTAGTAAATTAAACTTTTAGAACTCTGAGAGCAAGCTTTAGGACTTGGAGATGGATTCTGTGAACAGTAATAATACCATGATGGAATTAGGAAGCTTTTAAAGAGTTATATGGGTACATAAATCCCTTAATTCTAACTCTGGGGACAAAATGCTGGTCTTATTGAAGATCTCATTTATACATTTTACATCATGCTTCATTTTAAAAAAGGCTTAAACTTTTCCAGCTTTAGTTCAGTATAACATTAAGGATGTACTGAAATTCAGCTGTCTGTAGTTTTCATCAGTGCCTGTTTGAAGGAAAGTAGGCCTCACGTTAACTTCAAGAAACTACTAAGTCTTAGCAGTAGCCTCTGAAAGTGGTGCCTTCTGTCAGTACTTTTTCTGACCTTTGTCTGTCTTTGTCGTCATTGTTGTTTTAACCCAGACACTGGTATCCTTGCATTTGGCTCATTTCAGAAATTCTTTCCATGGTATATAACTTTGAGGTAGAGGTCAGAAGGTGAGTAGTCAGAAAAATTTAAACACCAACCTTGGGATAAACAGAATTAAGATATACTCACTTTCTTCATAGAGTCCCTGTCTTCCCCATCTAGAGTCTGAGTCTTTTTTCCATGCAGAGTCAGTTTCTCAGTGTATTTTTTTTTATAATAGAATTGAAATAAATATCCCTTCCATTTGATGTCAGTAATCAGCAAGGATGTGTTTTTAAATAGTATTTTAAAGTCTACTTATTTCTGAAGGATGATACAGGAAGAGTGGTATAGTTACTGATGTCTTGATAGATCATTGGTTATAGATTTTTTCAGTTCACATATGAGTTTTCTCAGGCCCTGTATCAATAAGCTCTAGGGCTGACATCTCAGAAAAATATTATTCTAAAGATGAAATTGTACATACTTATAAAGAATAGTAAACTTAAGAAAACAGAAGACTTGGCTTCTGGTCTAAACATTGTTACTTGGTAGCCACATGATCTGGAATACCTTTCTGGGTTTTCCATCTGTATTTTTTTAAAAAGCCCATCTTAGGAGGCTTGAGGTAAGATGTCAGTAAAATAAAAAATTATAAAGTACATTGTGATATTTCCTTTTTTAAATTATTAAAGGATAGCACAAATATAACATGGTTAATGCAACTTTCATTAGCTAATTAATATATAAATGACATGAAACTCTTAAAAGGTAGATTGAGTGCTGTTCTTTTCTGAAAATCTGTTACTTTATTTACTGCTTAAGGATTCTGATTTGGGACAAAGTCTTCAATTAATTTTTACTGTTTTTTTCCAGTTGTATATGTATCAGCTGTTCCGAAGTTTAGCCTATATCCATTCCTTTGGAATATGCCATCGGGATATTAAACCACAGAACCTCTTGTTGGATCCTGATACAGCTGTCTTAAAACTCTGTGACTTTGGAAGGTAAGCTAGCTTTCTTTTCTTCTCCCTTCTTTCACTCCTCCCCAGTCCCAACCTCCTACCCTATATGCTCTTTTAAAACCATATGCCTTTTACAATATCAGTCCAAAAATACCATAGTCCTTATTCAGGGATTATGCACTAGTTACAGATTCTTGTGAGGATAGTTTAGTAAATTCTGTCAGAATTATAAATATGTATAGTTTTTTATCCAGCAGTTTAATTAGTTAGGAATTATTCCCTTAGAAATACTTTAAAATAGTGTATATACAGGGATTTTTATCATAACATTGTTTATAAATGTCAGTAGGAAAATGACCAAATAAATTATAGCATATACACATTTAATGTAATACATGCAACTGTAAAAAAAGAATGAGGTAGCTGTCTATGAATTTAAAAGGAATGATGTCAGTAAAATAAGGAGTGATGTCTAAGAAATATTAAATTAAAAAAACAAGGTCAGGACTATATAAAGTTTGTTCCTTTTTGTGTTTTAAAAACATAGTACAGCGACATGTATATAGATAAATGATTATTGATTTCCAGAATGATACGTAATAAACCCATAACATTGATTGCCCCTAGGAAGGGAAACGGAGTATAGTGTGCTTGGGAAACTTGCTTTTTCATTGATAGTACTTCGTATTATTTGAATGTTTTATTATGTGTTTATATTCCTTTCTTAATAAGAACTAATTTTTTTAAAGGTTTTATTTATTTATTAGAGAGAAAGGTGGGGGAGAGAGCAAGCCGGGGGTAGGGAGGGAGGGACACAGAGACAGAATCTCAAGCAGACTCTGCTCTGAGCAGGGAGCCCAATGTGGGACTTGGTCTTACGACCCCTAGATTATGACCTGAGCCAAAACCAAGAGTCTGCTCTTCAACCTACTGAGCCACCCAGGCGCCCCAGAACTAATTTTTTAAAAATATTAGCATTCGTTACTGCATTCTTTTTCACTTCAGTGTTAACCTTAAAGTAGCAGTGTTTTCTTCCTTTTCCTCTGTAATTGAGTCTCTTATTCTCCTTTTCTGCAAATTCCAGTGCACTTGGCTTCCTTAAACTAATTCCTTGGTAACATTATACTGTGTAGTAAGACTTCATCCTTTTTATCTTCATAGTATTCAGCATCTTGTGCTTCTTTGATCTATCCTTTCAACATGAAACCAAGCTTATATCCTCATGTAACTCAGTTAACCTTCTTCCACCTAGATTAGTCTCTCTCCTCTCAGTCCCTAATACATTGCCACATAACTTGGATTCTCTCCAGTTTTTTTCATCCTCACAAATTCTTTTCATTGACCCGCATCTCCTAATGTCTATTTCTACCTCTTTGTAATACTTTATATCAACCCACAGTTTAAATTTTAGGTTTATTATAAGATATATTTTCCATACGCTGTCTCTTAAGCGTGTCAGAAAAACAAGCACATCTGCTCTCTCAGAATCAATTCTTAGTCTAATGGAGTGCTCCTTCAGACCATCCCCTTTTTACAGTTAAGTGATCTCAGACACCTGTTGTAGGATTCAGCTCATTTTGCAGGCTGTAACTCTTCCTTCAACTATAAGAAAAGGTGAAGGATATTAAATTCAAAACTCTTATCTGATGCTTGAAACAAAGTGCACATACTGCTAAAATCAGATGAGTTTTATTGTTATGGGGTATATTCCCCACTGACAATGACTGACTAATATGAACTGTAAAAAGACAGTGAGACATCAAGTTTAGTGGAGTTTCTGTTCTCACCATAGTGTCGAAACACTGCTGCTATGGACCATTTTATTGGGACATAGAAATCGCTTTGTTCTAATATATTTAGAATGGGGATTTTACTTCTATGGTAATAGGTCATTTTTAATAGCTCCGATTAATAACAAAGCTGCCTTTTTTTGTTTGTTTTTTTTTTTAAGATTTTATTTATTTGAGAGAGCGAGAAAGAGAGAGAGTGCGCACATGAGAGGGGGAAGGGTCAGAGGGAGAAGCAGACTCCCTGCTGAGCAGGGAGCCCAATGTGGGACTCGATCCTAGGACTCCAGGATCATGACCTGAGCCGAAGGCAGTCACTCAACCAACTGAGCCACCCAGGCGCCCCTTTTTGTTTGTTTTTAACAGTTAGTTTGGGCTAGCAGAGTTTTAGATACACTTTATTTTTTGTATTTTTATTTTTTTAGATACAGTTTAGATTCTTAGTGCCAGGTTGGTGGTGATTTGAACAAAACAGTATTACTCTCTTCTAGTGATTTTTTTTTTTTTACTGGATGAAATCAGGCCTAGAAGTAGCTGAAGGACTAGTTAGGCTTTCTCAGAACTATCTGTGGTCATTATATTGAATGCTTTCATCCTTCAAAGGATGGGAAGTAACTTCCAGCCTCATCTAAAGAGAAAGAAAGTAGCTTCATCAAGTATTGAGGAAATCTACAGGATGCAGAGTTTCCAATATTACCTTCTTTATCTTACAGTGAATTTTCTGACTATATAATTGCAATCTGTCTTGTTAATACAAAAAACCCTTTATAAAGTAGAAAGGTTTTATCAGTCAAGCTGAAAAGGTATCTTAATATTCCTGCAGCCAAAAATCAAGGATTGATATTTATTAATTTATGAAAGTGGTGCTGTGTGTCAGTACTTGGGGAGAAGGTTAAAAAATAAACTGCCTCCCTTGTTCAAAACTTGTAATGAGGGAAGAACAGGTTAAGGTAAGGGTTATCATTGACCAGAAATAAATGGAAGAAAAGAAAGCCCAAATTTTGAAACCTTTGTGACTACTTTATTTGTCTCTGCTCTGATTTCCTATACCTTTACCTCAAAATTTTCCCTTTCCTTGTTACTTATGTTCTTACTGTTTTGATTTTGTTGTTTGTGTTTATTGCCTGTATTTATCTTTGCTGTCCTCATATGCCAAAGTAGTTAGCTTCTACAGGAGTTTATTTCAGTGTATCTTTAAATTATCTTGAGAGACATCTCAAAAGAAACAAATTTTAACTTACTTTAATGTTTAAAATACATGCCACAAAGTATTTTGAAGAAAAGTTGGATTAGAGAACATGTAACTAAATTTACCACAGCACAGTTAGAATTCAGAGGCTGTGAATCATCTCTGACCTACAGGGGAGGACCTATCTTATTATTGGGTAATGAATATTTAGACAGTTAATAAAGTGACCAACATAGTGGAAAAAGAAAGTAGATTGGGTAAGCCTTGGGATATTTACTCTGATGCAGAAGTCAAATTATAAATCAACTATAAAGTCAAATTATAAATCAGTTTCTGTTAAAAAAAAAAAAAAACTCGGGTAAGAAGTATTCATTCTTACAATCCGTTACTATGCTTTTTGGTGGGTGGAGGTACTTCCTACTTTTCCTGCCCTTCCTTCTTTGTATTTGAGAGGTAGTATTCAAGGAACAGAGGATAACAAGAAGTTCAGCGTTTGTCCTTTTATGACTTTCTGTCTCTTTTTCCTTAGGTGAGAGTTGACAAATGCATTCTTTAAAAGCTACTGTTTGTTTGTTTTAATTACTATTACATTAAAATTTTAAGTTTCTTTTGCCAGGTAGTTATGGTTCATATTTTTCTTTTTTGCATGTTGTGTGATTTAATTGTGTGAATCTTAGATAAATGTTCAGTGTTGTCAATGGTAGTTTAAGTTCTTTTAAGGTTTACACTTAGTTTAAAAAACTTACGCTTTTTATTTTTTTTTGTTAGTGCAAAGCAGCTGGTCCGAGGAGAACCCAATGTTTCGTATATCTGTTCTCGGTACTATAGGGCACCAGAGTTGATCTTTGGAGCCACTGATTATACCTCTAGTATAGGTAAGTACTGAATATGAATATAATGGCTTGTAATTATTTATTACATCTTATTTTTAGTAATTTGGTATTACTAACATCTACTTTCACTTAACTATAAAAATAGGAATGACCTAAAGTCTGTTTCTCCTTAAAGACTCATGTGCAAAAATGTGTAGAGTATTTTAAATGTCAACTTCCAGAATTTAAGGATATTTACTATTTTATATTAAGGTTTCTGGGATTTTTTGGGAGAATAATAAAGCTATTCCTTTATAATTGCATGGTTCCACTATGATTACATTTGTTTTTAACTTAAAATTTCAAATAAATCCTAAGTGTATCTTTTCTTTTTTAAAATTTTAATTCTCCTGAAGTACTAACTTCTGAGCTTGATCAATAGTTGGAGAATTTGCATCCATGACATTGATGATGAAAATGATAGGATGGCCATGTTGTTGACATTTCTACTATGCTGTCCCAGTTGGTTATTTACTTTTAAGTCACGTCATAAAAAACAACAAAAATCAGTGGCTAAACCCACTGATTCTGTAGAAGTCTTCACAAAAGATCTTTAGTGATAACACAAATTGAATAGGGATGATTTGCTTCAGTCTTCAATGACCTCCTCTTTTACCCCATTTTAGCCCACTAACAGAAGTGAACATAGTACTATCAGCTGCGCATGAATAGTAAAGCTAAGAATGGAGGAGCAACCTTAGGCTAGGTGTACAGGTGGAGGTCAGAATTATTTTATTGTTATTTACTGTTTCTGAAAAGAATCCTTTAGTCCAAAAACAGAAACAAGAGCATGCAAATACCAAACCAACCAACCAGAAAGAACAACCATGGTTACAGAACACTAAGAAAAAGCAGAATGTGGACAGTTTTTGTCTTTTAATACAAGTGGAAATTACCTGATATGAACACAGGCCTCTAAACAGAAACGCATTACCATTTTTATTTTGCCTAAAGGACAAAATGCCAAAGAGCAATTTGATTTGTGCCAAGGGACCCACAGTTTTACCCATCATTTCTTTTGCACCATTAGTGCAAATATCAACACAGTGAAAAAAGTAGATAATATCTTAGTATTCTTATGAGAATAGTTTTACCCGTTAGGACCTCTAAAAAGGTCCAGGAGGCCCAGGGCTCTGCAGACCATACTTTGAGAACTGCTTCACTGGAAGATAGAGGGTATAATCTCGTGTGTGTGTGTGTGTGTGTGTGTGTGTGTGTGTGTGTGTGTAATGCTGAAAGTTTCATCATGGCTGTTACATGGCCTATGTTAAGGGACAAATGAGAAATAGCAAAAAGGGTATTTTGGTTGGAGTAGAACTAGATTTGAGTTCTAGGTTTGTTACTGCTTAGCTAAGCTATGAAGTGGAGATTGCTAATAGTTCTACCTACCTTTCTGAGTGGCTGTGAAGATTAAATAAAATATTAGTGAAAGTACTATAGAAATGGAAGTTGGTATTCATTTCATGCTATTTGTTGACTCTCCGCAAGAGCAAATTTCAGCCCTTTATATTTGGAAATATCATTGGATTTTTCAGCTGCTTTATATTTTATTCAAGTATATGATACTGATCATCTGCATACCCGATATTGGGATGAGTTGTGCCAGGGTCACCTAAAATAACTGCAGTTTGCTTCTTTTAAAAAAGTCATGACCATATCATCTGACACATTAATAAGGCATGTATAAAAAAACTCGTGACCTGCTTAAGAGTGCATTACTTCTATAAATGTCCATGTGCCTTAGCAGTTCTTTGGAATCATCTAGCAAAAGATGGGCATTTTAGTCCATTTTCTCTATTAGGAATCACTTCTGTGGATATTATGAGTGCCTGATTTCCAGTAACCTCCTTTGTATGGCTAATGCCAGATTCTGACTTTCTAGGCTTAGGACTCACCATATGCCACTGATTCAACGTTGGTCTTTTGAACCCTTAATAAGCCTGGATTTGACCTCCCTTTTTAGACCTGGATATTTCCTCTCATGACTCTGGATGATTTATAGACAGACAGAAACAAAAGTATTTAGAAGTGTACTAATGCAGATACATTTTAGAAATATTTTTAACAGTGATGTTTGAAATGAAAGAGTAGCTGGTTCTGAGTAGATTATTGTCCTGTTTGGATATAACCAGAGCTCAGGCTGATGGCTCTGATTATATTGTCTTACTGAGAAATGGCAGAGAACAAATGGCTTCTTCAGGACGAAGAATTGAGTTTATAGACCCTTGAAGAAGCAGTTAGTTATTCTCTGACAATGAGGCATTTATTCAAGATAGTGGTGTCTTGATTAGGAATTGAAATTGGGTTCCAGGCCTAGCTCTGTTATTCAGTACCTTTACTTTGGGCAAGTCCCTGATCTTTATTGTGCCTTAATTTCCTTATTTGTGAATTAAATATGTTAAACTAAATGGTCTTGAAAGATCACTTTTACCAGGAATTAGAGTTAAGTATGAAGCAGAACACTATTTTGGTTGAAATCCCCAGATAACCAGATAAGTCAGTGGACCAAAGTGCTTATTTTATTATACCTCCTGTTTTAGTCTATTTGGAGAATATCATTCGTTTGTCCCATTTAGTATGAACAGAAAAGATTTTGATATCTCCCAGAAAGTGAATGATAAATACCTTGATTTTGGTAGTTTGCCTGAGTTAACATTGGGGACCACTGGTATAGTTGCCACCTGAATTTTAGGATTATTAGTCTGTGGCAACTACTAAACAATAGTATTCCTTAATGGTTTACTCCTTGTCTCCCATATTTGTACCTAAATCCAGGCTAAGAAAGTATTTCCCATGGTTTTTTAATGAAAATTTAATTATTTCCCTGCAGTTTTTCCAGCCTTGTATTCTGAGATGAATTATTCTCTATTATAAAGAAATGAGTACATATTACCTTCCTTCTAATTGGGTAGGTAAAGGCTATTTTTATTTTTTATTTTTTTATTTTTTTTAAGATTTTATTTATTTATTTGAGACAGAGAGAATGAGAGAGAGAGAGCACATGAGAGGGGGGAGGGTCAGAGGGAGAAGCAGACTCCCCGCTGAGTGGGGAGCCCGATGCGGGACCCGATCCAGGGACTCCAGGATCATGACCTGAGCTGAAGGCAATCGCTTAACCAACTGAGCCACCCAGGCGCCCAAGGCTATTTTTAAACTTAGATCAAAATAAAGCCTTTATGTTAATGAATATATATATCTTTTCCACTTCCATCTTAAGAGTTAGTATTACTTGGCTTTGAGAGAAGTAAAGTTTTCTTAGCAGGTTTTGATATTTGCTTCATTTAGCAATTACCTAGTATATCAAGGAGGGCTCTTTTTGGTCAGTGTTTGCAAAATAGGTGTCTTGGTTATCATTGCTTGGAACTGGACAAAATCAACTTGAATTTCTTAAATAAATTTTTTGTCATTATTTTCCTCTGTCAGTAAAAAGTTAGTCACTGGAGCAGGGATTTCTAATCCCTCTTGATAGTGCATCTCACCATATCAGACCTCTTAAATTATTTGTTGACCCCATGCCATTCACCATTATCCTCCTTTCTGACTGGTAGATGAGAAAGCCCAGCAAAGATTTATGCTCATCTTCTAAAGCTCTTGATTGTTGGTTCATACAAAACCCAGGAATCTCAGGCATCCAGAAACTGCAAATTAGCTTTTTCCTTGCAGAAAGTCTTAATGGTGGGCTATAAATAGATTGGCCATATAATTTAACTTATTTGGTAATACTTTTAAAGAGAAAGAGGATGTTATTAGTGATTATCCCAGGATAATAAATCTAAACCAGGACTATCTTGGGTAAGCCAGGATTGTATACTTTAGATTATTTTTTAATTAATTAAATTTATTTATAAATTATTAAAACTAATTAAATTATTTTAAAAGTTTACTCTCAGGATTGAGGTTTCCACTTTGACTTAAAAATGAGTTATTTGTTTTGTTTTTTTTCCTTAAAATGTTTTAATTTTACACTACCTATGTTCTTCTCTAGGATTTTTATGGTTTCAGGTCTCACATTTAGATCTTTAATCCATTTAGAATTTATTTTTGTGTTTGATGTAAGAAAATCCAGTTTCATACTTCTGCATGTTGCTCTCTAGTTTTCCCAACAGCATTTGTTGAAGAGACCATTTTTTTCTCGTTGGATATTCTTTCCTGCTTTGTCGAGGATAATTAACCATATAGTTGTGGGTTCATTTCTGGGTTTTTTGTTCTGTTGATTTATGTGTCTATTTTTGTGGCAGTACCATACTGTTTTGATCACTACAGCTTTGTAATATAACTTAAAGTCGGAATTGTGATGTCTTTAGCTTTGCTTTTCTTTTTCAAGTTTGCTTTGGCTATTTGGGGTCTTTTGTGGTCCCTACAAGTTTTAGGATTGTTTGTTCTGGCTCTGTGAAAAATGCTGGTGGTATTTTGATAGGGATTGCATTAAATGTTGATTTGGGTAGTATGGACATTTCACCAGTATTTGTTCTTCTGATCCATGAGCATGGGATGTTTTTCCTTTTCTTTGTGTCATCTTCAGTTTCTTTCCTCAGTGTTTTACAGTTTTCGGGCTTCAGATCCTTTACATCTTTAGTTAGTTTTATTCTTCTGGTTTTTAGAGCAATTGTAAATGGGACTGGTTCCTTAATTTCTCTTTCTGCTCCTTCATTATTGGTGCATAAAAATGCAACAGATTGTGGTACATTGATTTTTTTTATCCTGTGAGTTTACTGAATTCACTTCATCAGTTCTAGCACTTTTTAGTGGAATCTTTCAGGTTTTCTATATAGAGTATCATGTCATCTGCAAATAATTAAAGTTTTAGTTCTTCCTTGCCAATGTGGATGCCTTTTATTTCTTTTTGTTGTCTGATTGCTATGGTTAGGACTTCCAGTGCTATGTTAAATACCGGTGGTGAGAGTGGATATCCCTGTCTTGTTCTTCAACATAGGGGAAAAGCTGTGGGTTTTTCATATAGGGCCTATATTGTGTGAGGTATGATCCCTCTAAACCTACTTTATTGAGAGTTTTTATCATGAATGGATGTTACATATTGTCACATACTTTTGCTGCATCTATTGAAATGATCATATGGTTCTTATCCTTTCTTTTACTAATGTAGTGTATCAAGTTGATTAATTTGTGAATATTGAACCATACTTGCAACCCAGGAATAAATCTCACTTGAATGTGGTGAATTATTTTTTTAATGTATTGTTGGATTCAGTTTGCTAGTATTTCATTGAGAATTTTTATATCCATGTTCATCAGGGATCTTGTCCTGTAGTTCTCTTTTTTATTGTAGTCTTTATGTGGTTTTGGTATCAGGATAGTGCTGGCCTCATAGAATGAGTTTGAAAGTTTTCCTTCCTTTTCTATTCTTTTGGATTTGTGAAATAAAATTTATTCCTCTGTCTTTGCATTTAAAAATGATAATATATTTATATAATACATTTCTCCATCAATCATACTATAACACAAAAGCCAACCATTTAAGGCTTAAATTTTTTTATCAGAATTTGCATTGCAGAAAAAGCATTTGACAAAGTACAGCATCCTTTCTTGATTAAAACTCTTCACAGTGTAGGGATAGAGGATACATACCTCAATATCATAAAAGCCATCTATGAAAAACCCACAGCGAATATCATTCTCAGTAGGGAAAAACTGAGAGCTTTTCCCCTACAGTCAGGAACACGACAGGGATGTCCACTGTCACCACTGCTATTCATCATAGTACTAGAAGTCCTAGCCACAGCAATCAGACAACAAAAAGAAATAAAAGGCATCTGAATCAACAAACAAGTCAAACTCTCACTCTTTGCAGATGATATGATACTTTAGGTGGAAAACCCAAAAGACTCCACCCCAAAACTGCTAGAACTCATACAGGAATTCAGTAAAGTGGCAGGATATAAAATCAACGCACAGAAATCAGTTGCATTTCTATACACCAACAACAGGACAGAAGAAAGAGAAATTAAGGAGTCGATCCCATTTACAATTGCACCCAAAACCATAAGATACCTAGGAGTAAATCTAACCGAAGAGGCAAAGAATCTATACTCAGAAAACTATAGAATACTCATGAAAGAAATTGAGGAAGACACAAAGAAATAGAAAAACATTCCATGCTCATGGATTGAAAGATAAATATTGTGAAGATGTCAATGTTACCTAGAGCAGTGTACACATTTAATGCAATCTCTATCAAAATACCATCCACTTTTTTCAAAGAAATGGAACAAATAATCCTAAAATTTGTATGGAACCAGAAAAGACCCCGAATAGCCAGAGGAATATTGAAAAAGAAAAGCAAAGCTGGTGGCATCACAATTCCGGACTTCAAGCTCTTTAATCATCAAGACAGTATGGTACTGGTATAAAAAGAGACACATAGATCATTGGAAGATAAATTGGTGTGTGTCTTGCCATTTGCAATGACGTGGTTGGAAACTAGAGGGTATTATGCTAAGTGAAATAAATCAATTAGAGAAAGACAAGTATCATATGATCTCACTGATATGAGGAATTCTTAATCTCAGGAAACAAAACTGAGGGTTGCTGGAGTGGTGGGGGGTGGGAGGGTTGGGGTGGTTGGGTGATAGACATTGGGGAGGATATGTGCTATGTTGAGTGCTGTGAATTGTGTAAGACTGATAAATCACAGACCTGTACCTCTGAAACAAATAATACATTATATGTTAAAAAAAAAAAAAAAAGATAGTAGGAAGGGAAAAATGAAGGGGGGGAACTGGAAGGGGAGATGAACCATGAGAGACTATGGACTCTGAGAAACAAACTGAGGGTTTTAGAGGGGAGGAGGGTGGGGGCATGTGTTAGCCCTGTGATGGGTATTAAGGAGGGCACGTATTAAATGGAGCACTGGGTGTTATATGCAAACAATGAATCATGGAACACTACATCAAAAATTAATGATATAATGAATGGTGACTAACATAACATAATAAAAATAAAATTTAAAAAAAAGAATTTGCATTGGCTTAAAACTCTATGTTTAGATATTGAACCTTTTTGTGCCTATTTTGTAAGGACTGCCAATGTACAGAGGTTTTATCACTTTGACTTATTTTAAGGTATGATTAGATAATCATGCCCTATGTTTTGGTGCTATAATCCCCTGTCTTGGTTGTTGAAGATTTGAACACCTGATATTTGATAATTAAATGGACTTAACCCTTTGTTGGAATTTTCTTATTGGCCTTGTTTCTTCTTTGGTAAGTTTAACACTTTAGGGATAATTTGATGACTTTCTTCCCTCAGTTTTGGGTTGTACAGTTTTTTGCTTGTGATATTTGCTCTGTGATCAAAGTAAAATTAGGAAATGTATACAAGTAGTTTTCAATGCAACTTAGGCTACAGGCATTAGTAACTCTTGTTTTCTTTACAGATGTATGGTCTGCAGGCTGTGTGTTGGCTGAGCTGTTGCTAGGACAACCAATATTTCCAGGGGACAGTGGTGTGGATCAGTTGGTGGAAATAATCAAGGTGAGAAGTTTGAATCAGAATTTTTGAACTGCAGTGAATTTTATTGTTATTCTAAGAATCCGTATCACCCACACGCATGAAAAACTTGAAAAATGGAGAAATTAATCCAAGATCACATAAAAGGTCAGCTATAGAGGAGGTATAAGAACACAGCCTTTTGGTTTCGAATTGAGTTAACTCTTCTGTTATATGGATCCTATAAAAGGTATTTTAGATATCTGATGCAAAAGAATGGATATATTTGTTATTTAAAGTACTTAAAAGCCATAAGATCACTAGAATGTATATAAACCAAATAAAAGCACAAACCATGTGTATTTTTGCTCAGTATGTCTTCTCCTAATGTCTGCTCCTAATATTCTGCTGAGCACATGATGCTTATATTTTTCAATATATAAATATTTGTAAAATGAAAGAATGAGTATCTACTTGTACAAGCAGACCACTGATAGAAGCAGAATATTGACTTAGGATTTAATACAATTTTATTTATTAGATCTTATCAGCACTTTTATTAACAACAGCAGATTTTTAAAAATTTTTTTGTTATGTTAATCACCATACATTACATCATTAGTTCTTGATGTAGTGTTCCATGATTCATTGTTTGTGCATAACACCCAGTGCTCCACGCAGAATGTGCCCTCTTTAATACCCATCACCAGGCTAACCCATCCCCCCTCCCTCCTCCCCTCTAGAACCCTCAGTTTGTTTTTCAGAGTCCATCGTCTCTCATGGTTCGTGTCCCCCTCCGACTTACTCCCCTTCATCCTTCCCCTCCTGTTGTCTTCTTCTTTTTCTTTTTTCTTAACATATTAACAACAGCAGATTTAAAATATTATTACCTTGGAATTAATATTGTCACTTAAGAACACTAAGGCTGAGATTTTAAATGATTTTTTAAATATAATTTTTAAAAGTTTTTAATATTTGAGACCTTAAAGTTCCCACCCCCTTAAAAAAAAAAAAATCTAGTGTCTGTATATTATGACCACTAGATTGCTTCATTCTAAGGTTACAGTTTGTCCAGAGCAACAACACCTGCTGTCTTCTGGGTTTTAGTCTTGATTTTCTAAATATTTCTTAGAAATGTAAAATTGAAAATCTCCTTAGAGGTTCTGTAGTCCAATTCTCCGAACAGTGAAAGAACCATCTTAGTTATAGTCCTGACAGATGGATTTCCAGTGTTTTCCTTAAATACTTCCAACATCAAAACGCTACTTTGGGATTCATTCTGCTCTGTACCTAGACACCTTGAATTTAATTTTTCTTTGCTGAGCCATAACTCCTCAGTAGCTTTTATCAGTTGTACACAGGACTATGATTATGTTACTTAAAGCTCCTTGTACTTCATTCTATAAAAATATGTTACTTTTGGTAAGTCAATTTTGCTAAATACTAATGTGTGCAAGTATGGTTGAAAAGACCAGTGTGTGATCAAAAATCTTCCTCACTATCCATATGATTTTTTTATGATTTGCACCTGAGACCTCTGGTATTTGCAGTCTTTTTGGGGTAACCATCTTTTAGTTTCAAATTAAACTTAACCTTTGTCCATCAGATCTACTTTCTGATTCCCACACTACACTCAGATCTAAGTTCAAATAGTTTGGTCATTTGGTTTCCTAAAAGCCCGTTCCCCATTATTTAAATTAATATTGTAATACAAGGGTTGGCAGACTTTTTCTTCAGAGGGCTAGATAAAATATTTTAGGCTTCGTGGGCTAAAACACAAATCAAGGATGTCATAGAGATGTGCAACAAGAGAAAACAAATTTCTGCAAATTTTTCATTGAGGAAATTAAAAATATAATGAGTACAAATTTTTTTAATACAGATCTACTAATTAAAAGATTGGAATACCTTGGAGGGAGGCTGTAAGATTTCTTTTCATTAGGATTCAGTTAGTATTCTCTATCATCAAATTGATTGCAAATTATTATCTGTAAAATCAATTCTTAGTTCATAGGCCCAACAAAAACAGGAGATTGGGCCATAGTTTGAAATTCAGAATTTCTTTAATCCGCAGGCTTTCACCTGATGTACTTGAGCTCACCAAACTATAATTCTCTGGGCATATTGCTATTCTATTTGCCATTTATGTTTAGCTTATTAGAATTATGTTGCTTTTCTGTGGATTATAGTTTAGAACTTTGTGATGATTTATTGTTTGTCATTAATTTCAGTTCATACATGATACAAATGAAATTACTCATGAAGCTAAGTAGCCATCTGTGAGAAGTCTCTATCTCATATTTGCCATCATATCTTACATACCTTTATATCTTGAGCTTTTTGCACCACCACTATTACAGTCCTTTTAATTCAGTTTTCTCCTTGGTTTGTACTTAATAGTAGAAACTATCAGTTTGTTATTGATGGTTTAAAACTACATTTTCATTCAGGGCTTATTTGTTGTAAGTTGTCCATGATCAATTTGTAGTAGTAGGTCAACTCTAAAAACACTCTTTTCATTCATGTGTTATCTTGTCATCTTGCATTTATATGTAAGAAACATAGTCACGACCCTGCTGTAGTTCCAGGATCACTGTCTGTACGTTTTGAAGGTGATATGAAATAAGAGAATTAGGATCCCAGAGCACTTTGGAATATCCAGCTTCTTGATCTGTTTTACAGTTTTAAGCGTAACTGCTCAGAATAAATGAAATTCCAGTATTAGTTTGCCACCCGTTTGGTGACCTGAAGTTTATACATTACATTGAGATTAATAGACATTGTGTTGTGGTGTGTGTGAGTAGCATGACTCTAAATCCTATTGCATGGAGGTTAATAAACTTTGTACAGATTTTGTGTATGTGTTTAATATAGTTCTAATACCTTGTTGATCCTGTATTTCTGTTCCCTAAATATTTAATATCTGTGATGTTTCAGTGAAATAAAAATTCATAACTAATTCTGATGTCACTGTTCTAGTTTTCCTGATCTAAGTTGTAAATTAGAAAAGAAGTTGTCTAGGTTAGCTTTCAAAGTTAAGGATTACTAAACACACTTTTCATTTTAAACAAATACTGTCATTATGCTAATCAGGAGTTCAAGAATAGATTTGAATTTTACCTGAAATGTGGTCTTGTTAGGTGCCCAATTCAATTCTCAGTTTTTTTTGAGGTAATAGTAATTAGGGAATCCATGAAAACCTATTATTTTCTGCTACTTTCTCCCTTTAAAATTTCATGGGGATTCCTTTGGAGTATCTGGAGGTAGCTGAACCCCCCAGTAAATTCTTCTCTCTGAATCTGAGTTTATGCAAAAAATGAACAATCATCCAGCAGACTTCAAGTATTTTATATGTGGTAGACTTGCCTCATTACTTCATAAACTTTCTGAGCAGGGACTTTCTTTATTATTGTGTTTCATTATCCAAGGGCACCAGAATAGTTTCCAATAAAGATTTAAATTGAATTAAGCTGCAAGACAATCATTGTTCGTTCATGAATTTGGAATTACCTAGGAATTAATAAGGAAAGTTGTGATTGTTGTATATGTTGTTCATTAAATTTTATTGACTCAGATGTCCCTGCCAATAATTTTTAGCATGAGTAACACAGTTTTATAACTGAGCTAACTTCATCTCATTCTAACCAACCTTTTTAACTCCAACTCCCTACCCTCTAGTAAGAAGACTTTTGCAAAATATTTAGGATAAATCCAATTATGTTATCGTCAAATAAGTTAAAAGTATAAAGCAGAATGGAACTGAAAGTCTTGAAAAGTCATTTGTAAGCATGAAGTGTACACTAAACTTTCTGAAGTTGATTGTTAGATCAGGATTTCATTATGCCGGGGACTTCTCAAATAAGATTTTTTTCTTAAATTGTTCCTTAAAATACTAGTCAAAATAACTTCAAGAAATATCTGATGTTGTTTCAGATATCTGATGAAAAATACAGTATTTTGGGAGACCCTGTACCAGGAGTTTCACAAACATAGGTTTGGTGACATAGCATTGTCCCATGGCACCTCTGTTATCAGTCATAGCAATATAGTTATTTAGAAAAAAGTATTCTGAAGACTTGACGGAGGTAGTTTTGTTTTTTTTAATGACAATAACTTTTTTTTTTTAATAATTATGCTGTATTTTCTATGCTCGGTTCAGAAGACAGAGAAAACACAGGCATACAACTATAAGGAAAAGAACAAAAACAGTCACTGTTCTGGCCCATCATAAAAAATAACTTCTATAAATATTTTTATATCCTTTTCTGTGCATATATATGTTTAAACAGAAATGCCATCTGTTTTGTAGACTTTTTTACTAAATAATCCATTTCTCACAAGAAGTATATTTTGACTAAGTGATCTTTGAAAATGACTATATAGATTCTATATATAGATATATGATTGTATTCTGAATTACATAATTGATATGGAGAAGAATAGCATTACCAAGGTAAAATGTTACCTTGAAGAGAAATTACATGATATATTTGACTTCTCAAAGATTTGATCATTAACTTATATAAATGACAAATGTACCCTGTATTTCCCAAATGAATTGAAGCTGAAGCACTCTATGAAGCTCTGGACCTGGGAATGCTGTAAATTTTACTAGTAGTTTCTTTTCCCCCCTCCAAATTCTAAAATACGAAGTTCAAGTAAGGAAAGGTGAATTCAGTGCAAAGTTCAGTTTCTGGATTAAAATAACACAAAACTAAAAGTTTGAAAGAAGCCAATTTTTTGGTAGAATTTCAATTTTTAAATTAATTAGTGTGCCTAGAGATAGCCTTTATTTATTCCATAAACATTTACTTATGCTTAGTAATAATTTGACCATTGCTTTCTAATGGAAAGGTTTTAGAGCAGAATTAGTCAGAGTCCCACCTCCTGATGATAGAATTTCAGTATAGCTTCCATAAGTTTTAGATTTGGATATATCTCTTTTAGAAAAACATGACATTAAACATATAGATACTTAAATTATTTGTAGTAATAAAATTGTTATAAGGCAATTAACGTTAATTTATTTTGTAAAACAACTTTAC